TCCCACTCCCTTAGCGAGAGCGTCTCTTGATTTTGTCCCCTGGGCAGAATACAGCGGTCTCTCTGTTTTATGGGTTGGACGGTCCCTACTAACATCAATTATGTTTAGTTTGTATTTGTGTTTATTTTAAGTTTATTATTGGGTTCATTTCCTCCCTCTCATTTTATCGTTATTAGAATTGTATATATATATCATCATTAAAATTTTTATGGCATGGGGCGCGATTTTGGTAGGTCTCCCTTGAGAGCACGTGGTATTATGGTTATTGAAGGATTGTTTGGTGATGGACGAGTTCTTTTGGTGAATGAGTAAAATGTAATGTACGAATGGGTCGCGAAACTGATTAGCTAGGTATAAGATAGTTATTGTTGACCAGCCTCTACCCCTCCCCTTTATTGGCCTCGTGCCACAATTTGTACTTTTTGTACGAATAAATATCAGTCTTACTCTTATGTCCATCGTCTTTTCCTGTTTAATTATATATGGTCTAATTTTAATTATGTTTTATTTTTAGGTATGTTTTTTTTAAGATGGTCTACTAGACCGAAACGTCCGACGTTGACATTATATTAACATTAAAACAGCATAATTGCATATTAGGATTTTTGTTTGTTTTTTTCGTATATTTTTCTTCATACAGTCGGATCTATATCCATATATTTGCTTACACACACACACACACACACACATATATATATATATATATATATATATGGTGAGAGAGAGATATGCAGGTGAACGGAGTGTAGTGTTTAATAAATCTAGTGATATATATATATTATCCTCATCTTTGTCGCCATATTTATTACAAAGTTTCGGCCCTTCAGTGTCTGTCTATATTTCAGAGATGAGGTATTATGTACACTATTTACATTATTCGGACTATTGTCCTCATCTTTGTCGCCATATTTATTACAACTCCAGCCTTCTTCAGGAATGTCGAACTTAACCCTTTATTTCGCTCACTGGGGTAGACTGTTCTAATTCCACGTGCCATGTTTGATGGATGTCAGTTATCAGTTATCTCCTGCTAATTTTCCCTCTGAAAGTTCTCCACTGCCTTAAAGCCTTTATCCACTGTGCCATGTGCCCTCAAGGAGACATGGTACAGTGGATAAAGGCGTTAGTTAGATCCAGTGACAAGACCCAAAGAGTGTGAGTTCAATACCCAGTTAAGAACTTGGATAGGGGAATTAACAGATAACTGTCATCCATAGTGTTTAATAAATCTAGTATATATATATATATATATATATATATATATATATATATATATATATATATATATATATGTGTGTGTGTGTGTGTGTGTGTGTGTGTGTTTATTAGTTCAAACGGTATTTTTCTCTATAAATGTGTTTGGAATAGACGCCCTGTTTCAATTCAAATTCCTGACTGGCAATACGAAAATGGAGGCTTTGATGTCCTGACATCAGACAAGTGCGTCCCCCACCAAAAGTCACTAGCACTCCCAACCCAAATCCCATGTATTACTGTTAAATAAAGCAGCACCCGGATGTAGCCCATTTCCGGTTTTGTTGCCGCTTTATTTCCGTCTTGATTTTCTATCCCACACCACTTTAGTTAAAGTGGATAGTGGATCTCGCTAAAAAAAACAATCTTCAAAAGGAACGAGTTGCATGTACATCAAAGAGAACGACTTCCGATTGAAATAAAACCCCTCTTCCTGATCCATATAGGTGTCCATATTATCATATGTGTTTTAGACTATTTCTTTGTTTTTTTTCTGTAAGTTTAATCATGTACAAGGCTCATGGGCCACTCGAGGTAGAGGGTATGTTAATAGGTAGTTTATACAGATAGGAATGGAAGATTACTGAGCCAGCGTGATTGCACCTGTTATGGTCCCAGCGATAGTCAAATAGTTAAGCTGGTGTCAAAATATTATGAAAATATAATGTAGTGATTACTACTATGTTTGCCACACCTCCATTTTTCTCAACTGTGATTGGTCAAATAATAGATACTAAATATCACAGGACAATTTACTGATCGCATTCATCCCACTGAATTTTTCCTACCGTTTACTCACAAACATGCTTTTGTTATAAAATCACCGATTGGCTAATTTTTCATCCAATCAGATAATTTTCGTGTTCTTTCAAAATATATCCCGCGTTCCTGCTGGGAGCCTACCGATAGTAATATAAGTCCGGATTCATTCCCAGTAGAGTTGAAGACAGGTGAAGGCAGTAGAACTCAACTACTCACACAGATTATTCATTCTACTCACTCAGCACGCACACACACACGCACACACACACACACACACACACACAGAACTTGAATATCATTCACCATCAGTTCTTTGTGAACAAGCCATGTTGCAACAGCTCTGTTAGTTATAACAAATATACAAATAGACTTACTGTATGTTCTTCTGAATACACCTTTTATTTCAATACAGAACTCTGAACATTCTATTCAGAAAACTTGCTTATTTAAATATCACCATATTCAACTAACAGATAAAGGGAAA